AAATTTTACCCCGAGCTACACTCGGGAAACCGCTAAGGAGGTTAAGCAAGTCCATTGTCACCTAGATTTTTTTTCCTGTTGAATGAAAAACTTCTTAGCATTCTTTCAGATACCCACAAGAAATTCCTTAAAACATGGACTCCATGGATTCAACATGCCCATCCTGCTATATCAATAGATATAATTTTGCTATAATTCTGGGAGACCCCATAATCCAGAGTCAGGCACTTTTGATGTTCTCCTTTCGATCCTTTCTTGTCTCGCAACAACCTCACACCCCCCACCTTTCTCTTTTTTTTTCTTCTATTTCACTGGCTCTTCTGCAGGGATGACTTATGATAAGATCTATATTTTTTGGTTCGACTATATATATTGTGCATTTGAAACATTATCTTTTTCACAGTTGTCGACTGTCCGGCAACAGGCATATAGTTCTTCTTTTGCCCTTACACTGACTTATCGACTTGATATGGTTGATGTTTTTGTTTTCGCTCTTTTGACATGTAAATTATTTGTCTAAATTTACAGATATGTTTTTTCAGTGCATGACCGCCATTGACAGTTACTGTTTGTTAATTCTTTGTTTGTACACATGATAGCGGTTGCCTTTGTATCTTTCAAAAAATTTGTATTGAATAGTTTTAAATTTAAAAGGCAAAAGAAGAGTTCTGAAAAAATAGGAGAGAATCTGTAACCAGGAGACATACATACACACCTCATTAAAATCTAGCTATGTTGGAAGGCCAAGTTGCAGCTTCCAGGTCAAGGTATTTAACCATTGGAAAGGGACTTCAGCAAAGTAACATAAAAGGGCCTTTCAAAGTGGAAGTGCACAGTGATGTTTTTATGAGTACCAGGCATGAGGGCTGCTGAACACTGAACAGCTAGCACAGTCACTTCCACAACCAATTCACAAAGAAAATGAACACTGCAGCAATGCAAGGAACATTCTTTAGGAGGGGGTATTGTGAGGCTGAAAGAAGCAGGGATAGGTAGCGTTCTCTGAGAACCCTTTGTGCTCTGGCATTTTCTGCGTTCAACAAGACCCATTCTGCATCATCAATTATGTTCTATTACTTACTAATAAATATTATAGGTAATATTTCAGATTTATTTTCCACAATGCTATTTGATGTGTTTGTTTTCAGCTCTGCTGCATTATCACATTTTTTGTTCTGCAGCCCAGAACATAATGAGGTAATAATTCATTCTAAATATAATAAATTATAATGTTACTGAGTTAGCTTCAAAGATTTGCAGATTTACATAATGCAAATTATAAAGAAAATCTAGACTACTGAGGTCAACCACACATACACACACACACACACACACACACACACACACACACACTTTCATGCAAAGCCACTCATTTCAATGAGGAAGAGTAGTCATGAATCTTTCAAGTATATCAGTGCAAGTCTGCTTTAATATATCCTAGTTTATATAAAAAGTAATTAGACTTTAGTATTCAACACTGATGAGGGACAAAATGTCTAGTTGCTATATGTTACTAAACCTCTTACAACACTGCTTTTTATATCACTTTAACAAGCAATCCTCACAGAACAGGCTGACAGATGGCCAGGCTGGTTGTCAGACTTGGTAGTCTAGCTCCAGGGTCAAGTTAATTTCTGTTGCATAGTATGCTATGGAGGAAGCCGGGGAGACAGGACAATACAATGGTGTCTAAAAAAAAGTAGTCTCCTCTTCCAGGGTAGTAACACATCACTAACACTGCTTTGTAATTACTCTTCTCATATCCATTAGCCAGACTGTAAGTTGTTCATACTGTATATGGCTTACATTTTCACATAATAAACATGACATGCACAGCTTTGAGATGGAATTGCTACTCAACCAGTGATGGCTAGTACTAAAAACATGTGAATAGTGAAGTTTTCCCTTTTCAGTGAGTGGTTCACCACCCAGTGGGAGAGGATTTCAAAATAAACAATGAAAGACCTGCTGGGAACAGCAGCAGACCAAGACATGGACATGAATTTAGTAAAAACAAGAAACCAAAACACAAGGAATGTTTCCACCTTTGAGACATATGCTAGCTTGTGGATGAGGGTCTAGTTTGGTTATTAACATTTGGATGAAAAATGAATCAAAAGGCCAAGAAGCCACTTTTTGGCACACATTCATATGTACCTCTTTCCCTCAATCTTCTTATCGCACAAAAACCACAATAAGGACTAATATACTGTAAGCATTAACAATGTAAAGGACACCAGAGATTATTATTTCTCATGCCCCCGACTCCCCTTTTCCGTCTTTTTAGTATCCTTCTTGAAGTTTCTACTCCCTTCTCATTATTACTGCAACATAATCTCATCATATGTGTGAAACCAGGGGATGCCCTAGCCATTAGATATTTCTTTATCTATAGAGCATGGGGGGGTCACCACCTTCATACGCCAGATTCACATTTATTTTTTTGATTTTCCCCTTTGTGAAAAGTTGGTTGGTAGTCAGTTCTTCTAGTTCAATATGTGAAGGTTGCTGACTTAATTTCTTCATGCATCTTATACTGTACATCTTACATGGATTGATAACTGTACTTTTTGGTTCTTGCCTTGAAGGTTTCTCACAAAGATTAAAAAAAGCAAACACAAACCCCTCCCCCTGTTTTGATTTAGATGAATATATGGATGTGATCAGCTCAGTGTAAATCATGTCAATGCTTTTTTTTCTTTTACCAGTTTACTGCACTAGTGCTGCACATGTGCATCATGGATGTCTCTTCACAATAATGTAATCAATCAGTGTGCCAAAAATACACAGCATATAGCAAATACAAATTTGGTATATGAAAATAGTGTACAGTGCTTTATTGTAGTCCACTCTGGATGTATGCTAAACCAACAAAAGACGATTCTGTAAACTGCTTGGAACACTAAGCTGGAACATGACAAGTGTGTGTGTGGGTGAAGAGGAGGGTCTGGAATCACTATCAAGGAATCCAGTGTGTCACTTTATATCCCAGCAACATACCACTTAAATTCATGGCTGCACAGGCAGACTAATTTAAAGAGGGGTCAGGGATCCTTCAGCCAACAAAAAGTGCTCTCTTTACCAAACACTGTATTAGTGGTCACAGACAGCATGTGTTCTGCTCACTGGCCCCTGCCTTATGTGGTCAACCTTAAAGATTAGGTAAAGCAGCCTAAGTGTTTTTGAACACATTCTCACTGCATATACATTCCAAAATCCAGGTTATTTATGAAACACAGTTCACAACAATGCAGTGCAGTGAAGTTCAGTGAAAAAAAAAGTACAGCAAGCTGCATTTTTTTCACAAGCCTTTAAAAGCATATTTTCTTTTTCTGAAAATAGTAGAATGATGGACTTTAAAAAGCTGTAATATTGTTTCATCTGTCCACAGCACATTCTTCCAAAAGGATTTTGGCTTCCTCACGTAAGTTTTGGAAACTCCAATTTAGCAACCATTTGAACAATCCATTGCAATATTTGATCAATTTTTCTCTTTCGTCCACATCCATGGAGATTAGATACAGTGCCATGGGTTGTATAAACTTCTTGACAATGTTGCACACAGTGGACACAGAAACATTAAGATCTCTGGAGATGGACTTATAACCCTGAGATTGACCATGCTTTTCAACAATTTTTTGTTCTCAAATCCTCGGACTATTCTTTTCTGCTCTTTCTCTTCTCCATGCTTCATGTGGCACACACAAACACACAACAGAAAGGTTGAGTCAATGTTTCACCATTTTAATTGGTTTCCAGTGTGATTTCTATATTGCCAGCACCTGTTAATTGATACAGGTGAGTTTAATTACAAATTACAAGAGCATCACAAACTTGTAATGCAATTGTTTCTTACAATTCTGAGACGTTGTTTGGGGGGGTTTTGCGTGCAATGTGTCAGATTTGGCTTTTTGTTTCTCCACTTTTTTTGTGTCATATGAATACAAAAGAAATAAACATGAGAATGCCTAAACATTTATAATTGCAACAATTTTCTGGGAGAAGTTGTGCATTATCTGACAGAAATGCAGGGGTGCCAATATTTCTGGCCATGACTGTATGTAAATACTATAACCCATTATAGATCTCACTAATTTTCTTTTGCATACACAGAACTGAAGTAGAAATTTGATAAATATCCCTTCTCTTTGTCCCTAGTTATCAACTATAAATTATTTTGTAACGGCCCTACATGCTCAGACCTATTTTTTTTACAATTAATTTATTTGAAGAATTTTTAGGGGTTTGTCCTGCTCTTTTGCAACTGGTCGATGATTTTGAATTTTTGTAGGCTTGCTTTCCTTTTTACAAATTCGGTTAGATTCTTTTTAACTTTTAAATGATGATAGTGTTCGATTATTTGTAGCTTTTTTTAACTTTGCATGTAAGCCACATATCGTTTATTTTTAGCCATTCAAACCTATTGCCCATGGGAATATATTTGCAGTGTGTTTGCATACAGTCGATACGAAGCATTCCCATTTCTGTTCTGTATTCTTTAATGAGAATATTTCCTCCCACTCTAAATCTTGGAGAGCAGCCTCTTGGATAATGTGCTTTTTTAAAATAAAGTGTTTTTTATCTTTCTAGTATGTGCTGTTTACAGCTTACATTAAATGAAATCGTGAAATATGACTTTTTAAATTATGTTAGCAGGGGATTTTAGTGACTGGGTTTACATCTACTTTAATTAAACCATACCCAATGCCCAGTACTAGTTAACTGGTGAAGAGGACCTGACCGACTCATGGGAAGCTCTTTGCTTAACCACTTCCCGACCGGCCGTTGTATATAAACGGCCGGACGGTGGCACTGCAGGGTCGGGTGGCCGTCTATAAACGGCCTCCCCGCACCCTGCTTGTGCGCGCTCCCTGGGAGCGCGCAGCACCGCGATCCGGTGCCCGCTGTGTCCTCCGGACACAGTGAAACACCGATCGTCGGACGGGACCTCTGTACGAGGTCCCGATCATGTGATCACTGATTGGCCAATCAGTGATCACATGCAAAGTAGTAAGCAAGATGTCACTTCTGACATCATTGCTTACTATGTGTGAAATCTGTGAATGATCACAGAGGTCACATGGTACAAGGCTATTCACAAAAGCCTTGTACCATGTGACAAGCTGTGACCAATCACAGCTCACTCAGTTCTTCTCAATGAGTGCAAGAATGCACACAGAGAGAAAGAGAAATGATTGCTTTTACATCCTATATGGGTGTAAAAGCAATCAGTGTAAAAAAAAAAAATCTTCATCACCCCTCACAAGTAGTACAGTGTCACCATGGTGACACACTGTACTGCTAGGGTGACAGTATGTAAAAAAAAAAAAAAAATAAATAAAAAATAATAATATAAAAAAATAAAATAAAAATGTAAAAAAAAATGTTTAAAAATTATAATTTTTGCTTATAAACTAATTTGGATTTTTTTTTTTTTTTACTAAAAAGATAACGGAATAAATTTTGGCTAAGATTTATGATGAAATATTATTTATTTGCAAAATGTTATAAAAAAAACACTTTTTTTTCAAAATTTTTGGATATTTCATTTACATAGCAAAAAAAATACAAATCCCAGTGGTGAATAAATACCACCAAAATAAAGCTTTATCTATCTAAAAAAAAATGGTAAAAAATTCATTTGGGTACAGTGTTGCATGACCGCGCAATTGTCATTCAAAGTGTGATAGCGCTAAAAGCTGAAAATTGCCCTGGTCAGGAAGGGGGTAAAAGTGTCCGGTCTGGAAGTGGTTAAGGCCACATCATTCATAATAAGCAGGAACTACATCTCAGCCTTTTACATGTTGTCACTGCCATGTCCTGTACAAACACGTTGTGAACACAGAGATCAATACTGATTTTTCTTATTATTTATTATATAAATATTAAGCTGGATAAACAGATAATCCAATGCAAAAAATAAAAAAAATGACTGGCTAGCATTATATGTGGACTGATCACAATTTAATTGTATTAACTTTGTTTGAACTTGATTGACACAACTCTGTTTATCAAACTAGTTATACAAATGTGGAAAAATTTGTTGGGACTCTAAGAGCTGTAATGAAACAATGCTTTATTCCGCTGGATCTCAGCACTGTATAGTTCCCCTAATGCTTGGATACAGCACCATGGATTTGAGTCTCGTCCTTTCCCGATTCAAAGGAGTACGTGCCAGGACCCATTATCACCTCTACTTTTCATCTTATCCCTCAAACCCCACATGAGCCACATTCGCCAACACAATGATATCAGAGGCCTTGAGGTTGCAGGAGTCCACCATAAAATGCTATGTTCGCAGATGACATCTTGGTGTACATTTTGTCACCACATATGACACTCCACAATCCAATGGGGCTTCTCTCTAGGTTTGCAAGCATATCGGGCCTCCACATTAACCCTACTAAATTAATCCAGTTGATGCATTTGCAGTTCACATTTAACTGGACCCCCTCTCGCCCATATTTAAGTATAACCCTCAGATCAAGCTATACTTTTCTGTTTTAAGCCAACATACCTCCCTTGGTTTGGCAACTCAGATCATTGTTGACTTTGTGGGAACACACGAATATATATCCTGGATCGGACACATGCACGCTGTTAAGAGGACTTACCTCCCCAAATTGTTCAACCCGCAACGTGTACTACAAATCTAAATACCTTCCCATGTTCTACGTATATTGCAAAACCAGATACTGAAGTTTATTAGGGGCCCAATCAAATCTCATATAAAATTAAGAAACTCTATATAAATCTAAAATATGCAGAGGCTTGGGCGTACCTAACATACTACGACTACAAAGCGGCACATATCACTCCACTGATACAACTGTACTCTACGTAAGACCTGCCACTATGGGCTTTTCTAGATAGTAAGTAAGCCCCATGCCATTGGCTTCATTATTATGGATCCAGTCCTCCCAGTGCTCTAAGCTCCTCAACCCATTTATAAAGCATACCTTGCAGGAATGGGCCAAAAATTCAGCAGGATTAATCTCACCCCACCTACCCCTACTAAATCTCTTTGACTGCCTATTGTTCCCTCTTGGAATTACTGACAAATATGCTCTTAGGTGGTAAATATCTCACAGTCATACATTGGTCTACTCTGTAATTTAACCATGGAATCCACTCTCTCGCAAACATTAGATAACTCTACCAAGCCTCGACGGAGGAATTTTTTCTCTATATACAACTGCACCATTTCGTAGACTCCTTCCTATCCCAGATAGAGTGATAACAATTGCACTTTGCCTGGGACCTTTCTAGCAGCCTGCAGAGTGATGCCAGCAGAAACTGGAAGGGGAAATTAAGGTCAGCATATTAAACATCACATACACTGCACTTCTGCAATGAGCATATTAGCAGTTAATGCACTGAATGCAGGAGTTTTAGTGCGCTTTCAGAAAGTGCACCACACCTCCAAGATGTATTAGAACTTCATGGCTAAGTGCAACTAACCCACAGGAAAGCCGCAGGTGCACTGTGCTGCACCCATGGGGCGGGTAAACTACAGCACAACAGTATGAAAGCAGTCTTATAGGGGACTCAAGACAGTAAGGGCTCATTTACGTTTGAGGTTTGGGGGCAGTAAAACCTCATATTTCTTTGTTGCCTGCAACTGGTTGGTTACCAAATCACTTAAGTGGCCTTTGCTCTTCAAAAGGTTGATCACTCCTGCACTAGTATATAACTAGATCAACTCACTGCTACAAATTAATGCCCATAGGGACCCATGGGAAGATCTTCTCCAGAGACCAATAAAGTATATCTCACGATGAAACCTTACCTTGATCACACATACTTTCATAGCTACTAAACAGACCATAGCATGAGCAAGTCTCCTTTCCTCAACTCAGAGGAGGTAAAATCTACAGTCCAAGGAACTTTTGTGAATGAAAAGCTGATCCTGGAAAACAAGCATGATCAGTTTCTTTTGATATGGCAACCTTGACTGGAATATCTACCTCCTTTGCTTTGAAGACCCAGGCAAATGCTCTCCGTCATCATCTCTAATATTGGGTGTTATTCTCTGTGGTTTCTTTTTCTATTTCTACCTATCCTCTCTCTTCCACTCCCTTATCTCCCCCCCTTCTTCCTGGCCTACAACTCTTGTTGCCTCCTCACCTTCATATTTTCCCTTTCAGATCTATGCCATTTAGGCAGCATGACTTGTCTTGATTAAACATGCCATATTTACTTAAACGTTATGTTTTTATACAGCATCCTCATATTTTCATCCAGTTAGAAACAGCTATGCATTGCTCTGTTCACTGCCTTGTCATTGAATGTACTACAAACATGCTGCATCTTTGCCCCAAAGGGCCTGTCATCTTTATTTTCCATGGAAAATGGACATTTTTGCATGCACACTGAACTGCCCGTGTGGGCTGGCAATGAAGCTGACTAGCAAACTGATTATTTGTTGTGTTATACCCTATATCTTGTGGTTTGTAACATTGTGCCTGCACAATTTTCTTAATAAAATTTTCTTTGCAGCAGAAATAATGCTTTATTACTCATGAAAAGTGATTACGTTAAAAACAATAGTCTCAAATAAACCTGCATGCTTTTGGTATGTCAGAGTAAAAAGAATGTGTGAACAGAAAAATTATTGCTTATTCTAGAAAGATATTCCAAAATGGCCTGGACAGATATTGTTGGTATCCCAAAAAAAGGTTAGAATTGGTTCAGTGTTATTAGAAACTAACTTTTATGTCATTAATCTCAAGTCTTTACTCTTGTAATCAGTCAGCCTATTTAAATAGAGAAAAGTCGTCTGATGTTTGGAATAATTGTATGCACCACACTGAACAAAGACCAGAGAAAGCAAAGGAGAGAGTTGTCTGAGGAGATCAGATTAAAAATTATAGCCTAGCAACTGCAATCAGCTTGATGTTCCAGTAATTACAGTTGCAAATATTAAGACGTTTAAGGTCTATGTTAGCGTAGCCAACTTCCCTAGATGTGTGCAAGAGGGAAATCAACCCAAGGTTGAACAGAAGTAAAGTGCAAATGGTATACAAAAAGCTAAGGACAACTTCTAAAAAGATACAAGCTTAACTCCTAGGTCAAAGTAAATCAGTGTCTGATCTCACCTACATCACAAGTGCCTGATCACATATAAAAAAATCCACGCTAGAATTTGCAAAAAACATATTGACAAACCACAGTGCTTCTGGGAGAATGTTCTTTGGACAGATGAGACAAAACTGGAGCTTTTTGGCAAGTTACATTAGCTTTATGATCAGAAAGAAAACTAAGCTTTCAAATACAAACACCATACCTACTGGCAAACAAGGATTGATTATATTTTGGGGCTGTGTTGCTGCCCCTTGTACGTGTTACCTTAAACCTTTGTAGTACACAACACAATCTTAAGTTTATCAAGGAATTTTGGAGCTAAATGTACTGCTCAGGGTCAGAAAGCGCTCTCTCAGTTATGGTCCTTGGGTCCTTCAACAATATAATGACCCAATACACATAGCTAAATGCACCAAGAATGGCTAAAAACAAAAATATTAGACTATTCTGAAGTAGTCTTCCATGAGCCCTGAATCCTATCAAACATCTAAAAAAAAAAAAGATAAAAAGAAAAAAAAGAGTTAAAAATATGCAGTCTGGAGGAAATGTCTGTCAAACCTGACACAGCTGGAGCAGTTTTCTGAAGATAAGTGTGCCAAAGGTACAGAATCTCATTGAAGGCTACATAAATCACTTGTTTGCAGTGATTGCTTCCACAGGTTGTGCAACAAATTATTAGGTTAACCATTCCCATTAGTTTTGTCCTTGCCTTTCTGATTTGGTTGATGCCCAATTTTACTTCAAGGCAATTGGTTGAAAGAAAAAAAAAATTGAAAAATGTACGTAGCACTCTCCAAGATAGCTAAGGGGAGCTAGCTAATTATTTTTTCAGTTAGAAGGGCTGAGTAGCAGCCTGGGCAATAGTCAGTTGGGTCAGGTTTGGGTCAGTGTGAGAAGCTCTGCAGATCAGTATCTTGATACCTCCCTGCTCTGCAATCTTGGATAAAATTTCTAGAAGTAGTGGGTGGGGGTGGTCTGCACTCTTAAATGATTCTGAGCAATCTCCAAGCAGGAGGCTTGGTATGAGGTCAGGACAGCCCTTAAGAGTGACTAAGCCTGCTCAGT